TGTTGTTGATCTGATTGGTAACACATTGCCAAGAAATGAGATTTCTCCAGATGGTGGTGGTGGCGGCTGTGTGTTGTGGAGTCGGTTCTGACTCATAGCGACCCTGTACAGGGTTTCCGAGGCTGTAAATCTTTACGGGAGCAGAACGCCTCCTCTTTCTTCTGCGGAACAGCTGGTAGTTTCAAATTGGGTTCGCAGCCCAATTCGTAACCACTATGCTACCAGAGCTCCTTTTTCTCCAGATAAATGGACTTAGGTACAGAATTTGGCATATATTCGCAAGTAGTTCGTGCACCTCTAAAGTTCTGCCTTCAAACTCCTCAACCTCTGGTTAAGTGTGGACCTTGTAAAATGACCTTCTTTCTCAGGTATCTACTTTCTCTTCTTTAAAATAAACTATTAAAGAAGCTGTGCTATGGCTCTGTAGGATAAGCACTGGACTGTTAACCACAGGCTTGGAGATTCTCACCTACCAGCAACTTCACAGGAGAAGGATGAGGCTTTCTGCTCCTGTAAAAGATTTACAGTCTTTGAAATGCTATACCAGGTCACTATAAGTTGGAATCAACTTGATGGAATTTAACAACAGCATTAAAGAAGTTAGGGGATACCGTATTCCCCAGGAAATGAAAAACGAAAACAAAATAAAGGAGACCAAATGAGCCGGTAGTTATCATCTCTGGAGCTAAATAGACCAAGTTCTAAATCCTAGTCTTGCTGCTTCCAAAGACTACATTTTTAGGTACTTCCTTTTGAAAGGAGATTAAAATGCACAAATACCTTATAGAGTTATAAAGATTAAATATAATGATGAGCCATTAAACCTGAATAACATAGGATAATAACAATATAGTAATATTAGTAGGTGAAGAAATAGTTTATTTGATAGAATACTGCAATAGTCATGTGAGGTCTAAGTTTGACTTTCTCTGGAAGGAGAATCAAACTCAAAACTAGCCCAGTCAGACATGCCTCCGCCCTACAACCTTCTTTGCCAGGTTCTGACAACCATCTCTCCCATAGCATTCTCTGCCTCACATCTGGGTTCAATGATTCATTGCAATGGCCACACACAACTCATAACAATACTCACGATTATGGGGTTTATTATGGAAGTGAATGGTACAACTCAGAATCAGAAACAACTCAGGATGCAGCAGTTTTCCAGTCAGGAACA